GGGATTGCATCAGTAATGACTCGGGCCAAATTTCAAATGCTAATGCGTTATTTCCATTTAGCTGATCCAGTAAATGACCCACGGCGGGATCCTGACATTGAACGTCGTCATCAACGATCAGAGGCCAACCCGTTGTATAAAATCAACCCGTGGCTGAAACCCGTACTCGAAAATTGTCAGTGATATTATCAGATGGGACAGGAAATTTCGATTGACGAGGGTATGGTGAGATTCAAGGGAAGGTCCATGTTTAAGCTGAGATTGTCCCACAAACCCGACCGTGATGGCTTCAAAATATGGCAGGTGTGTGACTCGACAACGTCTTACATTGCGAACTTTGAACCATATTTGGTAGTGAAATATAAAACTACCAATGAGGAAAGAAAGAAAGAAACAGGGACAATCAAGAAGACTGTGCACCGGTTGTTACAGCCCTTCACAGAAAAAAAAACATTCTTTTCTGTGATTCGCTTTTTTACCTCAGTTAACACAGCCCTTGAATTACAAGACAAGAAAGTGTACATGGTCAGTAGTTTTAGCAGACGAAATCGGAAAACCATGGCACCGCAATTAATTCCCGAGGGGAAAAGCAAGAAGCAGAAATTGAAAATTGGTGAAATGAAAGCAGCAACTAGACCGGACGACACTATCAATATTACTGCATATCAAGATGACAGGGCACAGATATTAATTTTAAATACGGTCTACCAACCCTCGACATCAGGCAGACGCATGGGAGCAGCCCACCGGGGTGGACGACTAAGAAAGGCGTACAACAAATAAATTTGGGACTTATTACAGCGTCACGAACTGTACAATAGTTTGAGTTGGTGAAAATACGTTATCGTTAATTTAGTTTCATGCTCAATCGGTATTTATACGTTTTAATGTCAGGATAGTTCATCAGGTCTAGTCGGAGGAAATACGTTTCTGCGCGAGTATATATACACGCCAAGTCCCTGCAGTTACGTTCTCGCTAGTTCGTTTTATTTCAAGTCGTTAAATATATATTGAAATATATAGTTAGTTAATCGGGTCATGTCGGTGAATATACGTTGCCGTGTGAAGGTAACCCGATCAAGTCATTGCAGTTACGTTCTCGTTCGTTTCAGTCTCAGTTTGAGTCGTTAAATATACGTTGTAAGTGTGGGCTTACTCATACGGTCAAGTCGGTTAAATACGTTAGAGCTTGAATATAACATCAATCAAGTCACGGAAAGTACGTTGTAATATGTTACACATGTAGTTCAAGTCGTTGAATATACGTTGCAATTTGAAATGTAATGAAATGAAACGCTGACAGGTCGAGTACGTTAAACGCGTTTTTCCCCGTACATGTCCCAAATATCCCCATACTCACGCGTTTTTTTTCTTCTTACTTCGAACTTGCATTCATGTAGTGACCTTGTACTTGCTTGTAATGTGTTTTCAATTAAGCAATATTTATTTCAATGTTGAACACGTGTTTATTGAGAATTAACGACAGTAAAAGATGTGTATTGCAATAAAACGGTGATTTTTTTTATACGAGAAATTGTTGTCCATGGTGGTAATGAAGTGTGTATGCGAACAGATTGCAAAAAATGTGAAAACTGAGGTCGATACAGTCTGTTAACTATGGCCTATTTTTGCAAAAATGTCTGGCAGGATAGCATGCACCGATGCTGTTTACTGTAGTGCATTTAATCATGACCGTTTTTCACCGACTTAACCTGATAGCCTGAAACTCCCCTGACCGGAAAAGGGTTAATGACGTCACAATACTTACTAATCCTAATAACACGCAACGAAACAGAAAAATAACATATCACAAGTTTAACAAAAATCAATAAATGTGCAAGCTTATACACATCAAACTAAATCAGTGGAAACCAGCAACCATGTTGTTGACATATTTTTCGTTCAACTTGAGCAAGTGTCCAAAAATGCGCGCACTGGCGAATACAATTTTTGGCGGCAAACAAACTACAAATCAAAAATGTAATGCTTGCACTCAAGATCCGACACGGACAATATCTCAGCACAACAACATTGAAACAATAATTAACCCAGGGAAGCCGAAACAGGAGCGGTGGGGAAATAACCCAGGGAGAGAGTGATTTCGAGCTCGCTAATAAACGGTCACTACATTACATCCATCTCGTCGTCGACCTGAGTATCACTACAGTTTAGTATCGTGACAAATGTAATACTCGATTATGGCGAAGTCGGCCTATCACACATGAATCAGACGGTTTACCTCAGGGTCTTCTCTCGACTTACTCGTCTACCAACAAATCTCACGCCGTCTTGATCACTCGTCGATGTGCCAAGTTTACCACACAACAGCAGGCAATCGGGGTTACAGCGTCAGCCTCGTGGTTTGTAGGATCGCAACGTCTTTCATTCATGGAAAGTTCGTAGCACATGATCCAAGACTCCCTAAGTCTCACAGCTGACTCCAGCGGCGACTCGGATGATTCCCCTTCTCTGCCACAAGTGTTCAGTCAGGAATCAATGCAGTTATTCGCCTAATTTAGATGAATCTTCACTCCGCTCACTGTAACCAAGTTCAGATTTTCCGGCCATTTTCCTGTCCCGTTTTTAGCGCGTTCCTTCAACCAATCCGACAACTCGCCTCTCCAGGTTAAAGGTCGGTCACTCTCAGTTAGCATAAAAAACTCCAAATTTAGGAAAGACATCCCCAACCCGTGCCTCGCTCCTGTACACGGTGAATTCTATCAGTCACATACCATGACATCGGGCAAACACCATGGCAACCAGTTTCCACATGAATACTAACCCAAAAAGTGATCCACACTCGGCTAATAAACCGGGCTAATAAACTGGTAATAAAACAGCATTTCGTACATCATTTAAATACTGCATAATAGTACACTAAGTTACTACGTGAGACACATACATAGCATACAACTGGCAGGGCGAATGACCGGGCTGATTTACACTTATTTGTCGATAAATCTTGACAACTTGATCGGATTGTTAATATTTATTCGATGTATCATTCCTATAAACCCGATTACAATTAATGATTTTCATTCTGGAAATAGTTGGCTGGGGTCCAGGTTGTTGCTTCCTTTGCGTATAAATTCACGCACTGCTTTATTTTATCGCTGACAGTGAAAAGATTCCTTTGCATTGTCATAACAGGTACTAACAATAAGGAAGTAAAGTGTCATTTGTGGCATATTCTGTATATGTTGTTCTGTAATTTAGGGCCATGGTCGGCGTCTCCACGTTCAAGGCGGTGGCGTCGTCTTGAATGTGTCGTGGTGATATTGAAAAAAATCATGATGTTTCAGAGGACTTAATATACACCGGACAGTTAATAATAGGCATTTTTATGGCAGACAAAAAACGTTAAGGTGAAACTGATGGAAGAAAATTATTTTTTTTTTTTTATAATTACAACATACTTTATATCGAACAAAAGTCACAATAGATATTTTGTTCACTGGAATTTTTATGATATATTATAAATATTTTGTATAGTATCTCTCATAATTGGAACCTATATATTGATTTATTTTTAGAAGAAAAACAAAATTAAGTTGTAGGGGATCGTCATTTAATTAGTGATACTTTCAATAGGAGTTTTGTTTAAAGTACTCTAGGTATAGTTTTAGAATCCGCTATCTTGTTTCTTTTTTCAGATATATGCGTTTTGCTTTCTGCCTAGATTTTCTATTATTTTTGTAGATTAATTAACTGTTTGTGGCTAGTTATGACACTCAGTACAAACATTATTGCCGCGTACTATATTTTTACTAATTCCTAGAGTGATCACTGCGCCAGTAATATGGGTTATAAATAACGACAATTGTCAAAGTAATTTACTAATTTAAAAGGGAGTAGTAAACAAAAGTATGTGGGACATTACGATAAATACTTTCCGTGTTTGATATTGTGCATTTTTGTTTTACCCACGATATCCGTCGTTAGATGGCGCGCTTTCACGTTATCCTAAGTAAACTTTTGAAACTTCCTCGAAAACGGAAAGTATTTTTTTAATGGAATCAGTGCTCAATCAATTGAATTATAAACTGTAAACTAATTATAAACTAATTATATAATTATAAACTGTAAACTAATTTGAAAAGTTGCCGTTTCTATGTTTTGACACATATGTAAATACAAAGAAACGCGCATCATGTTTTATTTATCATTTTCCTTAATTCTGAAATAATAGCGAAATGAACAAGTGTTCTATGGTCATGAATTCTGTTTACAGTGTTAGCACACAGACAACAGCTTTGTGTTTTGTAAACATCTTAGTATGTATTTATATAATTAGACACTGTTATAGTTTTTGTGATTAGAAACAAGTGATGCAAAAATCATCAAAACCGATCGTTAACTAATAGTTAGGGTTAAGTTACCCATACCATTGCCTCAACATCGAAGTAAGCCAACATAAACAAAATCTCCGGGGTAAACACAGAATATGTGTCATATATCTTGAATTTCATTTCATTTTATGCCATAAATACAATGCCCATCCTTTCACATTGGCCAAGAACATGATTCAACAGTTTGAAAGCAAACCGATAGATGAACGATTCATCAGGTTAGGCAGTAATGTATAAATGTGTATCAAGGTATTAAAGCAGTCTTAAAAAGAGTCTCAGTGAGATACCGTCACTAAGCTTAAGAATAAGGCAAAGCAGCCGAATTATTCTTGTGCAGAATTGTATTTGTGAGTGTTTTGCAAACTCATACATACTGTTGTAATTCAAATGAGAAAGATAAACACGAGTTCTAGTATGTTTGGCAATATTAACACGTGTGGACAGAGATTGTTTTTGTTTGTTTTCAATATTTTATTCGCAGGTTAAAATAAAAACTTTACATTACATATTTACAGGTTAAAATAGCGAATAAAATGAAATGATCAACAAGTGTAGGTAAGTACAATAATTTTAACAATTCACAGTGTTCATATATATATATATATATAACAAATAATCTGGGGATGTCAATAGCTGTCCATCCAACGTTGATATTGCCTCATTGATGCACCATTGCGATATAACCGTGTCCATAGAGTGTACTAGTAAGTGATAGTTAAACTCCGGGGGGTACTTCCACATTAAGGGGGCAAGGGTGTGAACCCCCCCCCCGGGGGGGGGGGTTAAACTCATCTGTTATTCTCCTTTTAATCCGGGCCTTGAACTTGTGAAGTGCATCGGTTTGAAACAGATCTTTCAACTTATTGACGCGTGTTACATAAATAGCATAGTTGCAATCCGATAATTGAGCAGACGATTATAACTTGCATATTTCCTACATGACAGACCCAATATATACCATGACAGTGTTATTGTGTTAAATTCGGTAATTCTTCGAATAATAACGTTAACAAGATTAAAAAGTGGCGTCAGTCTATTACATTCTATAAAGATATGAATAAGATCGTCTTTTGCACCACAAAACGGACAAACGTCTGTACTTGTAAGTTCTGCTTTCAACAAGTAGCCACCTGTTGGATATGCACCATGCACGAGACGTTTGTACATAGACCCCGGAAATTATAACTCATGATATGGTCCAGACCCGGGGCCCAGTTGGTATGAAATTGTAGTTTGTACTATTTTAAACTTGGCTTTGTGTTGAAAAAATAATGATTGTGAAAGGAAGGGTGTAAAACCCCGACCCCCCC